ACTTGACATTGTTGTTTTTTCATCTCTAAATAAGTTAATATCATCAAATACTAAATAAAGAAATCTTAAAGAATCTAAATTTTGTTTTTATAAACTAATTCTGTTGAACATGTAAAGTACTTGAAGCAAAACAATAACAGAATAAGGGTATTCAATAAAGCTATCTTCCTTGCATAGTCATTAATGAAAATACAAGAATCAAAAGAAATACACAATCGGCTGTATGACAATAAAACACAGGGGGTAAGATATCCAAGTTGGAAAGTTGTTCTTACATTACCAGCAGTTTTCTCTTTTATGGTTTTATATAAATACATGTACTTCTTATCTGTTTATAGCCTGTGTTTGTTTTTCATACACTCAGTTCTGTAATATTTCCTGGTGGACATTTTAACAATATATATGCCACAGGTTTAAGTGAAAGGATTCAAACACTGAACCACCATTGTTTGACTGAAAGCCTTTTAGAAACATGGAACGATAGCTTTGGGTTATAATTTTTTCATCACCTGGATCACGTGCCAACTGAGCATTTAGCTTGTTATGAATTTCATGCAAAGCTACACGAGGGCTATCTGCGCAAGCTGTCCCTAATCTAGCAGTGAAAGACAAGAGAGAAGGCAACTATCATCATTACCCACTTCTAACTCTTTACTAACGAATGGTGAGATTGACCGTAACATTATAACTCCCCCACAGCTGAAAGGGTGAGCATATAACAACTACTAGCAAGGCACTTTCTTTTGATAACTCAAGCTAGCTGTCTCCCACAAAGTTGTACAAAGACACTTACATTAAAAAAAACTAACACACGTAGTTTAAAAAAGTGTAAATCTAATAAAATAATTTTTAATTTTATCATATGTAAAAATTATTTTAACAGTTTTATTTTTTATACTTTATAAGTTTTATAAAAAAATTCACATCTTAGAGTTTCATCTTAAGCTAAACAGCACAAAATCTTCGAGTTGTCTTTGTGGTGGTGAATAAATATTAACACTTTTAAAGCTCATCAAATATTAAAAACCTCTTCATATAAGTTATGACAAACAGTAATTAGGACTTTTACAAATGCACTAACCTTTCACACAATTGTTTTTAAAGCTTCATTCTCAGATTTCATAATTTCAGGATTAATACTGATTTTAGACACACACTATATGAGAATATGATATATTCTGCTTAACCCTTAAACAAATTTTGATACTCCTACAACTACAAAACATTTAAACTTGACTGCTGTTATATTAAGCTACATCTTAATTCTTACTGCAATTACTGTTTGTTCGGTTTAAATCCCCGAGAGAGAACTCTGATCCCCACAGATCAAAAGTGACTTTATTAAACATTTTTGGTACAGTTACATATACTTTATAAACAAGACCTCGTTTAATACTTAAGTTTTATACTAAATATGTGATTTAAATAGCAAAGAATTTCAATATATTTAACAAATATCTCTTGGTCTGCAGATACCAAAAAATAAACACTAATTTCATAACTCAGCAATAATATATAAGTGCTTAATTGTATAACAGACTTAAAAAAAAGAAAGCAGTTACTAAAATTTACACAAATACTTAGAGCATAACATATATATATTAGCAACACATAAATATTTACCCAACAGCATATTATTTCTAAACTAATTAGCCAAGTTCATACTGTCAGGTCTGGATTAAGGCCATATTTCAATTTGAAATATTATCTGAGAAAGCTATTTAAAAAACAAGCATAACCACTCTGGGCCTCTTGATGCTGTAGAGTCACAAACAACTGTCTACTCTGCCTTTTGGTTAATCTGGCCTTGGAGATCATCCTGTGTTTAATATATGCAACATACAGAAAGTTAATAAAGTACAAATGATTTTTCAGTTACTTCAACAAGGAATTACTCACAGACACATTTTTTTTCTCTCTTAAATTACAGTAAGTAGCTTCACTTTACAACAGTGAACACAAAGCATTCATTCATAATGTATTTCCAAGCTCAATTACTATGAACAAGAAGTTTATATGACAACCTTTAGATGCTTACACTGAATGTGGTACAGTGTTTAGATTATTATTAAACATATCCACAGTCTAACTGAGAGGAACTTACTGAAGCACTCTTGTCTCATTGACTCCCATATTAACAGGTAGAAGACCTGATATTATTATTAAAATAATGGAAAACAGAAACCTCCTCAATGCCTAAATAAATGTGAGAACTATTTTATGTAGGACAAAAATTAAAACAGAATAAAATGTAAAAAATGTCATTGTAACTTTTATTTTGAGTTAAGTAAGAAGGATGGAATAATTTATAGAAGATACAGTTGCAAAACAAAGACAATAGAAACATTGTGTGAAGAATGACTTGAAAGTTTTGTCTTTAAATGCCGAGATCTTTAATTCTAAAGCCAAATAAAAAAAACTTTATCATTGATTCTAGTAGAGTTATCAAAAGTTTCACACCAATAAATTATTCTGAGGGGCCAGGGAGTACATAGCACATATTTAATAATTTAATACTTAATGAAAGTGCTAATAAGAAATTAAAATTAATTTGAATAATAAAAATATTGAAGTTGGTAATAATAACGTATTTGAACATTCTTTTGAGTGGAAAAGAACGATCAAAGTATGGGACAAACAAGTCACAAATGATACATTTTTATGTTTCTTATACTCTTTCCCGTTTATTAAATATTTTTTTTATTTTCCAAAAACCCACTTTTTTCCAGCATTACATTACTGGATATTCCCTAACTGGCAGGTATACCTTGTAATGTTTGGCTTAAAAAGTATTGTTACAAATAAATGTTAGAGCTGGCTCCCTTCCACGTTGGTTTCCTATACTTCGCTACTGACCTATATGCTCGGTTGAGCCATCATTCACTGCATTAAAACATTAGAAATGAAATGGTTGCAAAAATTTAATCATTCTTTGAGCTTATCATTTGACACTCAATATTTGAGTGGTCAACCCAAGTTCCTCTACTAAGTTTCTTTAAAATCGGGTTAGATGACTACATGCAACTTAGTACACAAGACAAAGAGATGGAATACTCTGGTTTATATTATATATATAAGGTAATTGGTGGATATTACTATACCCAGTTTGTAACACAAATTAATTTAAAGTCTCTCTCCTGGCAAGCTGGTATAACCTTGTTGATGAATTGCTTCATACTTTCCACAAACTCTGTTCCTGTGGTATTTCAAGTAGTCTTTCCTGGTAAACATTTTGAAGCATACATCACAGCCATATTTTGGAGGAGAGACAAAATGTTGAAGCATGTGCCTCCTCACAACATCAGCACGACTGAAAGTCTTCAGACAAACACTGCATTTGAGATCTGGTCTATTGTCCAATGATTTTGAGACTAAAACCAAAATAAAAATATTAGCCAAAAATATCCAAATGTACGAATATCATACATGAAATAGCTATGAATACAGCACTTTGTGAGAGATGTTACTAAAACAGACAATTATCAAACATAATATTTAAAGATTTTGAAATAAATGCATGTTTTAACTGTGTCTACTAACTAATTTCTTTTAACTGTCCGTTTAGTTTAAAAAGTAGAGAAATTCTTGTACCTACTAAAGTTTTTTGTTTTTCATTAATTAACACAAACAAATCTTGTTATTTAAATTTTATCGTTACATTCACGCTAGTGTGAAACAAAATTAGTCGTTTTTTTTTTCACGTTAACATGACTTTTATGGTTACTGCAAAGTATATTTTCTCATTTGATAAGATTACATTTTTAATTGGGTGAATAAGTTGCTGAGGAAACCTACTTGAAGTAACAATTGGATAGCTGTTGAATGAGTAATAATGAAAATGCATAAACATGTTGTTGTTGTTTTTAATTATGAGCACTGAACAACTAGTTGATACTGTTCTAGTTCCAAGGAATGCATGTGTTAGTTTTTTTTAAGATAAAACACTGATTTCAGTAATTAATGCTGTAGAATTCTGTTGAAAAGTTATTCTTTGCTAATTTGGGAAAAAAAAAATTCAAGCCAATCAAAATAAAAAAAACAACAATGTTACACAAGATTTCTGGTGGTGATGTTTAAAATATGTGCTCATTAGTGATTTATGAAGATAGACTGGATATATTTCATAATTTCTGCCATCTTCCACCAGATAAAATCCAGAGAACAGAAATATCGCAGAATTAGACAGCCTTGGGTCTATTTTGTAATGAAGCCCTTTTCTTGAGCGACCAAATAATTTTTCCAAAAAAAGTGGAAATTGTGATATTCCGAGCAACTCCGTTCTGTAATAATAAGTACTCTGTTACTAAATGTTTCCAAAACATATCAGTATTTATGTAGGCAAGATTCAACCTTAATCTTTCAAATAAACCAAGAAACACCAAACTTAAGGAGTCACAGAACTAAATTAATTTAATTAATAAATTAAACTAATTAATCAACTAAAATTATTCAGTTACAACAGGAAACATTTTTACAAAAGTCGTGAACATTGTACATTGAAAGCTGAAAAATACATACATGCACTGACACAACATGCATCCACCACAGTTTTTATATTGGTAAAATGACTTTCTACTGTCTCATTAGCTTATTAAAGGACTGAAAAAAGAAAACACGAACAAAGACTAAATTCCCAATACCCGATATAATAGCTATTAATAGACAATCACTTATGATGAAATCCACATATTCAAAACATTAATTTTGAATGAAAAAAATACAATGTTCAACACTTTTCATTCTTCTGAGAATATTTAAACATATCTTATTACCAATTCATGCTTATTTCACTAATTTCATTCACTACACATCAATTACAATGTAGAGTAAACAACAAGTAGTCACAAATACTTAGGATTGACAAATTTCTTTATTCATTTCAAAGAAAAACAGTGTACATTAATTTATGTAACTAATAAATCTGCTCAAAGATTTCTCATGATAAAAACAAACCTTTATCTTAAAAACACACCTGAATGAATGTAATTAGAATAATTAGGCTCAACGAAATACCTTTTTCTTAGTGAAGTCATATGCTTTGTATCTAAATATTGGAAACAGCATATAGCATTATAATACGTGTGATGGAAACAATGAGATTCCAAAGTAATAGCATCAATATATTTACACATAATTGTAAGGTTATTTGTATATGGACTAAGTCTCTTCAGTCAATTTTTAGTATGACTAGGGTTTCCAGACATCCCAATAAAACTGGATTGTCCTAGTTTTTTAGCCTTATTTTTACTGTCCCAATCAAAAACAGTACAAGTATTAAACTGTACCTCAGCATGAGTTTGATATATACAATGTCATTATACATGGATCTTTTAAATATTTTTTAACTGACAAAGATAGATCACATGGTACAGTGTTCTCTCCCTCTGTGCTATGTTTTCTTAATCTAATCTGCCATTGGTCAGCAGCAGGAATTGAAATTTGAAGACCAAAAATAAACAATTCTTTCAAGGCAACTTAGGATTGTTATATATATATGTTTTCCCATATCAACTTTTGTTCCTTCGAATTAGAAGTCGAGCAGTAATTTTTGTAAACCAACAATTTTAACACCCAGTCAGCAACCATATAGGACAAGCATGTTCAGTGGTGGGGGATTCAAACTTGTAACCTTTAGATTGCAAGTTGAGCACCTGAACCACCATGTCATACTTATTTTTGGTAATTATATAAGCTTTTAACTAATTTTGTTTTTTTATGGTTTTCAAGTGCAATGCAATAAACATGAGATTATTCAGCAAATGTTACAGTGTGTTACTGTAATTCATTCTGGACATCTGGTAACCCTAAGTATGATCATTTCTAAAAGTAGCCAGTTTTTCTGTTGTTAAATTTATTATGTCTAGTAAGTTTGTCCATTTATACAACACAAATTCAATAAAGATATCTTCATTAGGCACACTTTTAAACTTTATCCTGCACTAGCTTTTATTTTTTTCTGTGCTTATCCCCATTTATAACTTCAAAGGGGAAAACATACAGCCAATCTGTGAGAAGGGGATCTGGTCTGTTTTATATTTTGAGGAAGAAAGGTGGGAGGTCATATGTTTTACATATACCACAGAAATTGAGTTAGACACCTCTTGTTTATTCTTGTTAATAAAAAGATACACAAAGGGCTATCTGTGCTGTGCTCACCATGGGTATCATAACCTGATTTTTAGTGTTATAAGCCTTCAGACTTACCACTGAGCTACTGGGAAAGAGTTAGGTACTAGCAAACAGATTTTCATTATAGATTATATAATAAGTTTTAAGCCAACTTAATGGCAAAAGATTAGGAACAAATTAAACTTAAAATTATAAAAGACACTAAAAGTGAAACTCAATAATAATGTTTTCTGCAATAAAAATTACATTTTCATTTATGTTAATGTAAGTTCTTGAACATAGTGGATTTTGTATGTATTTGTTAATCACCGGAAAATAATTCTTATCCAAGAGAAAATAGTGGTTAAATAATGATAAACTTCAAAACCTGACAAGTTTACCTACCTTTAGGTAGCCAAGGTTAGGTGAGAGAGTGTGCCTTGTTAGTGGGTTAACCCTTTACCTCAGTTGGTAGAGCACTCACCTGTGGTGCAAGCTGTCACATGTTCAGTCAAGAGCCTTAGCGATTACTTATTATAAGATTACTTAGAGACATTGAAAACATTAAAAACTAAACTTTTCTTAAATAAAAAACCTACAGCAGTATACAATTTGTTCTAAGTATAATGTCGCTTTTCAAACAAGCATGATTTACAAAGAAAACCTAAATATAGTTCTTATTCTCTAACGTTGTCAAGAAATCAACTTTTTACACATTGAACATAATATGTAAACTATACTGTTCTAATTAAATTAATGCAATAATGGTTTAAATCAGTGTTATATTAAGTTTAAACATTACAATACTGATATGACTGTGTGTATGTATGTATTTATTTTAATATTAAGAGATTGTAGTTTAATCAACTAAGTTTACAGAAGGTTCAACTTAGCTTATGGTAAGCCAGTAATGGACTAGCAATTAATTGTTTGATCCCCTATGCCATGAAATCACATTTCCTTAAAGGTGAATATACAACTTTTACATTCCTAGTTGAGAGTGCTCATTTTTCATTAATATTTAGTAATCAAGGTTTTAAATGGGTTCAAAACCATGCTGTAATTGGCCTACTAAATTTATTTATATTTTATTTTTTCTATTAAAAAATATACACTACTTTAACTCAATGAAATCTCAATTCTGCTGACTGTGTACTCACTACTTATAACAAACAAAGAAGGGGAACAACCAACTACCAGTGAAAAACAAACTACACTGTAAACTATACTACTTTAAACCCACTACATTTCATTCTATATTTATTAGTTTCTTCTGTAAATTGATCTTATATATAAATTTTTCAAAACATTATAAAACCCTCTGTGACAAGCTCTTACTACTCTTCCAATTTGTTAGCAATATTTACTACTATAAGCTCTCAACAAGTACAGGTGTCTGAGCTGAGATAAAACACAACAAACGGTGTTTAGTAACTCAAATGCATTTAACATTATCAGGAAGTTCCTTTTGTTTTCATGCTATGTGCCAACCTGTAATGTTGAAACACCTCAGGATGACAGCAATCCTTCCTTCAGACAAATGTCAAAGTTGAATCTTTCTTTTGCCAAACCTGGAGGTTTCCTATTATGATGGTACAGTTGGAATTGTTCTGCATAACCTTGGCAAAAACAATTTATTGTGGCACCAGTGATAAAAACATCCATTATCTGTTATTAACACACCTATCAAACTGTGCACCAGTGATAAAAACAACCATTATCTGTTAATAACACAACTATCGTGTTATTAACACAACTATAAAACTGTTTTGTGTTGCTTAGCATTACACTTGAAAAAAAACAACAAACCAATGTCACAGTTACACAAATTTAATTCTCATTTTAAGAGATTTACACTATAGTACATACAAAGTTCATACAGACTGCATTGTCCTGGAGTAGTGGAGTGAATTATGTCTCGGGTCATCACTCCAGGTTGTTGCAGTCCTTAAAAACTTGAAATTTCTATGAAATCTGTACATTTTCTTGCTCTTCTGAGGGTGACTAATGATCCAAGATGTTGTCTAACAGTAGTGTATATTCATTAGTTTTAAGGCAAAACAATTCTCTGAAAAACGTCCGATTTAATTTTCTCTCAGATCAAATTGAATATCAAACCATGAAAATTTCAAAGTCAAAAAATATTTTATCAAGTACACGTAACTTGCTTATCATCTAATTCTCACAATCACCAATAAAAGTAAAAAAAAATTGTCAAAATAAGTCAATTTAATACATGTTTTGAAATATTTCCTTTATTTCCATAAGTACATTTAAACAAGGTTGGTAATGAATCAGCCTCCTCGATTAAACTATTCATGTTGTCTTCATAGTTACAACATTTTGTACAACAAGTTATCTTTTCTGAAACAAGCAAGACTTTTGGGTAAGTTACTGATGCTGTTGCTAGCATCAGTAATGTTGTTGTATAACAGTTTATCCTTGTGGAAGTGTACAGCCCATTACACCACGTTAACCCATACTTCATCATTAAGTAACTTTTAACACTCACAAAGCAAAGTCTATTTCAACTCAAGATGAACAAAAGTAGTGAATGGAGTCATAAAGTGAATAGCCTACCTCTTAAATAACAGTTGCAAATTTTATGAAACATCAAACACTCATGCCATACAAAAACTTAAGCTCTATTGTAAAACATGCATAACAAGACTTGCTGTTATGTCCCTTGTTTCAAATATTCATTAAGACAAACTTTACTTATGTGGCAGCAGTTCATATGCTAATACTGTCTTCATTCATGAGATACAATTGGTGTAAACCCTTAGCCAGTAGGAAAATTTGTACCGCTAATTTCACATGCTTACGATTCTACTGTAAGTACATTCATTACAGAGCCATATATCAAACAACACAAACAAATTCTTTCAAAAATGAAATCAACTCTCTTCTTCAAGAACACCCAAATTAGAACATACAGATCGAACCACAGTTGTGGGAAAACTTTCACTTTGAATATTATAAAATGAAATTAAAGTCAAATTACAGTGTACAGAACTTAATTTCACACTTTTAAAATGTTTAGTTTGTAATCTATAAGCTATCAATTATCATGCTGTATAATGCCTTATGCCACATAATTGTGATCTGTTCTCCAGTGTAAGGCCTTATGTACCACAATAATCGATATCTTATACCAAACTGGTATAAATAACATTTCAACTGAGGTTTTGTGTGTTGCATAACCAGCTGAGCTCTAGTACTGAATAAAAGGCCTTGTTGGCAGTGGCACATAGCAAACAAAGTGTATAGTCCTAATGTTATATTCTTCTGACTGGAAATCCATATATAGCCAGTACAGAAAAATTTGTTACAGTGTTACTGTGATGTATTGTCACACAAGACATCAATTTATATGTTTTCATATAAGATTAAAACTATACTATGCATTTTGTTAACAAGTATGATTTTACAGGTTGGGTCATTCACTCCAACATGACTCAAACTTACAATTACTCAACAAATCAGGATGAGTGCTTATGCTTAGATTAAAAAAAACAAACTTCCATAAGCTCAAATAAATTATTTATATCACGACTTAACCAGCACATAGCAAACACAGTAATGTGTAACAACCAGCACATACTAAACACATTAACAATTTTAAGACACTGCTTTATTAAAATAAAACTACATAGTGTACAATTTGTTTACTTAACACACACAAATCAGGACTAGAACACTTGACATTATCTGGATTTTAACAATATCTACTATCTTTAAAATATATAAAAATTCTTATATTCCCCCATGAAAATCTGACCTGAATATTTTGTTTATCATAAAAAGCATCTCATGTTTACAAACCTAAATGTGATTGTAAATATATATATATATCTCTAACATCACACACACAGAAGCAGCTCTGCTATTCTGTAAAGTATTAGCTACAACTTTAGAGCTGCAGTGCAGGGCTTGAGATAACCTCTGTTGTCCTAGTGGTACATTATCTTGTGCTGTTCCAACACTTCAGGTCGACAATACTCTTTTTTGCAAATTTCACACACAAACCGTTTCTGCAGACCTGCTGGTCTCTTTTTACAGTGATAAAACTGGTGTCGCTCAGCATGGCTTTTGTGAAAAAACATTTTCTGACACCAGTGACACAGAAATCGGTAACATCTCTTCCTTTTTACTCCTGATAAAAACAGATGAAAATCATCTTTTACTTTAAACAAAATAATTAAACATTCTAAAAACTTCTTCCCACAAATTAACAAGTTGAACAAATTCCATAATTAATCTTAACTGATACCACAATACAATAATTCACAAAACACTCTATAACATCTCAGTTTTTTAATGAACCTCTTCTACAACATACTAATCATAAGAGCCAAAAACACATGCACATACGTGAAGCATTAGATAAAACACTTGAAAATTCAAACAAGTAATACAAAAAATTAAATGTATTTTTGAGTGAGAGGTAGTTATTTTCATTATAACTTATGGACATGAAAGCTACAGATGATTAATAAAATCATCAGAAGCACAAATTGATTTGTTCAAACATCTGCGAACACATAGATAATCAGTTTCATTTCAATATTCTGAGTTTTGATGTAGGTAAAAATAAATATACAAATTATCCTATATAACAATATAATTTTCTAATCTCACAATTATTACACCAGAATGTTAAAAGAAAAAACAAAAGACTCCAGTTCAGGATAGAGCTTAGAGTTTAGTGGGTGGAAAAACCCATTTTTATAAAAAGTCATTCTTCTTTAACAGACTTTAATGCCACAGGTTTCACGTGTATTATTATTCAACATGTTAAGCAATCTGAAAGCAGAAGGTTGAGGGATTACTGTTTTGAGGTTTTTGCATTTTTAATATGTACTACATTACACTCTAGAAAAATAAAAACCTAGAGCTAGTGATGGATGTCATTCCCAAGGAAGCTTGAAACAGTAATCAACTTGTAGAGAACAAGCTGATGCCAGACAGATAACAACAAATAAGCCATTAATAAATTGAATTCATTCTGGAACTTTGTCCAGTATCCATATTAACATATATATGTAGGGGTCACAAGAGTACTCGTCAAACATTTATTACCAATCATTTAACTGCACTGTTCCTAAACCTACCATAAACTTATAGTTTCTCGACATGATAATAAATGCCAGAAAGCAGCTAACCCCTATATACTTCAACCAAAAGCACAAACTTATCTAAACTCATAAATGTTTTTATGATTCTGCAACCAAACTCATCCTGTTACAGCGAGCATAAAAACAAACTAGAACTCCAAAGTACCTATATGTATTTACAAATATAAACAATTTTGTTGGGGGAAAAAAAAAAAGACTAAATTATTTCTGATCTTTATAATACAGTGATATCACTTTCTAGTAAATGCTTTATTTTTATTTTTTTCAATTTTGTCCAAAATCATCCCTCACACAGTTTCAAGTGATGTGTATGGCATAACAACAAATTCATTACAAAACAAAATGTTAACTGATGTGTTGATCTAAATATGATTTATATATATATATATAAAAGGGACTTCAACAGAAAACATAACTTGTATAGATTATTTATTTCTTCTAATATCACTCATAAAAAAATAGCAACACTTTTCATTACAAGTTCAGGAATATTCAAAAGATACCAGATAAGTTATTTAAATCCTTATTCTTATAAGTAAAGCTGGGCAATTAGTTGTATTTGCTAATTGATTAAGTGATGGCCCTATTCCTTAAACCATGGTACATACAAGCAAAAAATAAATACAAAAAAATAGGAGGTTGGCAATGGGTGCTGCCAGACCATTGTCTTCCCTCTAGTCAGCATTTCCAGACAAAGTTGACATTACAAGTTGCCAGACAGTTACCTTCCTAATAGTCAGCAGTTCAAAATTATCCAATTATGTAGCAATATTTTAATTACTTAGATAGTTGGAATATCTTATTAGAATGGAGTTTGCGATGTATACGTCCAAAACTTGGATCTCGGAAACTACCACACACCAATCATAACTGGGTAGTATTTTTAAAGCTCAGTAATACATTAAAATGGTATGTTTCAGATTTAACCAATAAAAATTACAAAAAAATGAGTAAGTTTCACATATAAAACAATCAAAAATCAAACTTAAAAAAATATTCTTTGTGTGTGAAAATCTCACGAGTGTTGCAACAGAAAAGCATTGATAACTGCATCTACAAAGAAATACTTCAATAAAATCTACTCTGTGATGTAATGCTGTGATGAGAACTCATTTTTAAACTAAAATTTCAATAAAATCCATTTTCTCATGGATGGTGAGCATTATTGAATGTCAAGTATGAGTACATTGTTGTAGAACTGTCAGGCAATTCCAGAAAAGTCCGCAGGCACAATAGCATTCCACAGGAACTAGCAGTTATACCTGCCTGCAGGGTGGGTTATTCTGCTGGTAGTAATAATTGGGAACTTTAATTTCGATTAGGTAATTATTTTCTTGACAATGAAATCAACCATAATTTTGATTAATCAATTAGTTTACATGACACAAATCAAGTAATCATATTCATGGATAATTGGTTATATTGCTCAGCTATATTTCTTTCCTTTCCTTTCTGAGTGTATTCCTTTTCCTAATTTTCACCACTGGTAATTATAGGAGTGTTACACTTATCTATTGAGTTACTGTGAATAGCTCACAACTATCTATATACAGTTAAGAATTTTTAGAACTTCTCAAAACACTGCACGTGATAATACATTATGGTCTTCGTGTAAATGACTAGAACAGGAAAATATTTCATGTTTTTTTTTTTATGATGTATCTTGTGGTTATTTATGACTGTTTGTGTTGTTCTCCGTCAGATTGCAATGTCCAGAGATAAACCACTTTCAGCTACTGTCCTAATAATTGAATCACGACAATATTTTACATTTTCCGTTTATTATGCAGCACATGTTAACATGTTATGGTTTCTTTTATCATCGTTGCTTATTGGGTTTGGCTTGTCCAAAACTAAACCACTTTAGACAAATGTTTTAATCACGTGCAAATGTTAGAAACAGAATCAACTGTTACATGTTCTTTTTTTATGACTGGCTAAAAAAAAACAAGATGAACTAAAAAACATTTCAAAGGACCAGATCTTAGAATATTTAACATTGAAAGTTAATACGATTATAAATAATGACTTGCTTTATCCTGTTCTCAGACATTTTAAACTATTTTCTGATATTAGTCTTCCACACATATCTTAAAAATATGGAGAATGATATTTTTCTGATAATTCACTACTACTCAGAATTACTTAACAATTGCCAAAGTTCATTCTTGAATAATCATGATTTGTTTCCTTTTTCTGCTTTCCCTAAGTAACAGCACAAGATAGCTAACCCTTCCCTCAAAGTAATATTTTATTTTGGTACACTTGTACATGTTGCTGTTGTTTCCCACCACACATGAAGAACATGTGCAGGTATAGCAAGTTTCATTAAATGTATATCTGAAAAATGGAACATGAACGGCATAGATAATGTTTGTTTTTTTTCAGAATTTTTTGGCACATGTGTAATGTTTAATCTTGAAAACTAAAAAATTTTTTTTAAAAACAATGATTATTTTATACACAATTCAATAAAATGAGATTGTTTCCAGTCACCAAAGTACAAAAATCCCCAATGTGACTGGAAAACAATCTCATACACTCTACATGTTTCAACGTAATATCTTGCATCATCATCAGTGAGTTATTATTTTAGTAATTTGGTGACTGGAAACAATCTCATTTTATTGAATTGTGTATATAATTATCATTGTTTTTAAAAAAATTTTTAGTTTTCAAGATAGCACAGATAATATTTTTAAATAATTTGTTATAGCCACAGAACTTGTGAAATAAAAATTAAGAGAGTACATCAGAATATTGTTCGCAACACCAAAAAGTCTCATTTTGTAGCAAATTATAATAAGCAAATGAAATAAGCCAAGAGTGGGAAATATTAAAAAATAAATCTTTAAGTAAGCACAGAAAAGTATAAGGGCAGTCAGCCAAGGTTTGTTACTCCAAGGTGAATATGCTAATTCCAATTTGACAGAACAGTGAAGATGGGGGATTTCACTTGCCTGTTTCTTGTAAACACCACACATGTCAAACTACCCAGGGTAACAGTTTTTATGTTTAAAATATCATTCAGGAGGCTGATACAGATCTGCTGAGAAATAAATGGGTATGTCCAGAAGAGGTGGGGGGTGAGATGGATGAGTAATGATTTATTCAAATACAGATGAACTGATTTTTGTATTTATACTCCTTCAACATAAGCATGGCAGGCGTTAACACCCACCTGGTGGAAAAACTAAAAAAAATTATAAAAAACACTAATTTTGATTAAGTGATCGTATTATGGTATTAATCACTGTTCATATGTAACTGATTAATTGAGTTAGTTGCCCAGTTCTACCTTAGATACAATTGAACTACAATCTTAATATCTTTCTAATGGAAATAGTTTGTAAAGATTCGTAATAATATTAAAAGTTTCAAATGTTCTAATACATTCACAGATGGTGCTACGATGAATTATTTCTGTATAAATACTTCTCTAACCACCTTCAGCACTTCAACTTCCAACATCTTAGTCATGCCATCCTGGATTTGTAGCATTTTAATTTTGCATACACGAGGCAAGTACTCACATTAAATAAAGTAAAAAATGCGAAGCTAAAATTGGAATGTGCAAGATTTGTTAAAATACATCAGTTTCAACTCATAATGCCGAGTTAACAGAAGTGAAACATCGATGTATTTTAATTACTGTTTTTATATCCAAACATATTTTTAGCTGATTTGTACCCAAAATGCAACATAAAACAAGCCCAAACCTTAATCTCAACAAAACTTTTACAGTTTGACATAAATTATTGTGCTTATAGAATTTTTACAATAAATTTTATAATTTTTAGTTGAGAACTATAGATTACAATACAGCAACAATTATAATGGAAAAATTACTAGTATTATATACACATATTTGCACTAGTACATTGTTTCTTTGAATGAAAATGTCAAAAAAAATTTTGTGTTAATATGTAGAATAATACACTTTTATCTAAGTTAAAATACCTTTCTTTTATTTGTAAGCTTTCAGCCTTCTTACTGGAGACTTCATTGGACAGCAATGCAGCGGGCAATATCATTTATTTGGTATTATATTGTTCAGTGTACTGTTGCCCAATGAAGCTCCAGTAAGAAGGTCAAAAGCTCACAAATAAAAGTATTTTACCACAGAGAAAAGTCCATGTATGATTCTATATATTAATTTACCTGCATTATGAGTCTTAAAAAACAATATTAGTGTTAATTCATTTCTTGGATGATTACTAGTTGGAACAAAACAAAATTCTATTTTTCTTTACAAGATTTTCTTCCTAACTCACCTTAAAATGGAAGGAAATTAAGAAATTTTACTGAATTGCAGTTATGTGTTGGTACAAGTAATAAGTTATTGAATTACAAGTAGAGTTTGGCTTCAATCACAATTCAGTAAAATCCTTTTAAGTTGTAATGAAAAATACTGTAATAATTCAGAGCCCATAACCAATTTTCTACAGCTGAAATAGCTACATATAATTAAAGAGGAAATCTTGCAGTTTGATTTAAGTTTCAATCAGTAATAAAATTAAACACATTAAAAGTGGCTTATGATCTTTTCAACAGAAAACAAGTTATATGGCTTAAGTGTTTTTTTAAATGATTATAATATTGTTAATAATTGAAGAAAACCAGAACATCTGCTAACTTTACAAAAACTATAGGTAACATTTGGTAAAAGTATTTCATACGTATAACTTTTACTGCTTAATTTTACTTCATGGTATTTCTCTTATGCTAGCAATGTTAAAATTACAATATTCTTTTAGCATTCATGTTTAATATTCTACATTTACTCTGGTAAGTACATTTTTGTTTCAATATAAATACCAGAAGCATTTTAAAAACAGCTAAAATGGGGTAAAAATAAATACTGTAAAACAATGTTTCACCACTGTTAAAATTGGCATCATCATCATCCAATGATGCTATGTTAAAGGTGGTGAAACATCATTTTACTGTATATTTTTTCTACCTCAGTTTAGCTGTTTTAACTTTTAAGCATTTTATTTTGCTTGTTCACGATTTTGATATTTGGTGTGTATCATAATGATGGCCTAGTGTTAATGGTTTTTTTCCCCCTTGTGTTTAACACATCACGTTATTTTGTTCTTTGGTTTGTGTTACAGATACTTCTATTTCCTCACAATTACTTGAATATTTTATTCCATAACATATGTTAAACTTTTCAGCACAAAAATATTTTTGGGGCTTAACACTGTCTTAATTTTTGTTCTTTATAGTTCTATTTTCTCATAAAACGCAGTTGCTTTACTCATACTTTTTCTTCTCCCATTTACATCTACTTTTAGTGACCCACTGGATTAATGAGACATTTATTTTATTTATTTATTATAATATTATACAGTTTTTGTTTTTTCAACAAATATGTCCTTTACTGTTCATTTCCATTGGTTGTAATCATTTGAAATTAAATGCAATTGAACAATGTTCTAAAACTGTACTATAATAAATTTTAATAATATATTATTGGTAGGTGAATGTCGACACAACTTTTTTTCTGTTCTCACATTCTATTAGTATTATCCCCGATGACTGTGGCAAGTCTGAGGGCTTATCGTACTAAAAATTATATTTATATACCCATAGTAGGCACAGCACAAATAGTCCAATGTATAGTGTTGTGCTTATCAACAAATAAACAAACCAACATTGTTAAATGTTTTATTTTCTCAAACAAATACAATGTACTTTATTAGTTTATAATTATATTAATACTCATTAGTGTTTCTGCTTTTTGATTCTTGGGTGTAATGCATGCATTATACTGGAAAGGTTTTTGCTCAAGTGTGGAATGTTGCATGGCTCAAAAAAAATTACAAGGCTTAATTTATGTACGCATTTTGTAATTTACTAATTTTACTTTATAATTTTTGTATATAATACATTGCACATCATTTTGTTTAATTTCTGACAAGGTTTGACAAATTTTCTTTTAACTATAGTATTGTGTAGGAATACATTTCCGTGAAAGTTATATTCTTAGTACTTAATTATCTTAAATATTTTATATATATTATAATTTAAAAAGTTTGACTTTTTCAATCACTGAATTAATTTTTTGTTTCAAGACTTCACTTTTCTTCACTTCAGTCAGACTAGTTACCTTGCGCTTTCACCAAAAAATGTTAATGATAATGTTAACATTAAGACTTATTCAAACTTGAAGCTACTGTAAATAAAAATGTAATATTAATAATGGTGTATTGTCGTACGACTCGTACTCGTAGTGCAACGACTGCTGCAAGTTGCAAAGATGGCCACATTTTGTTAGTACTCGTGTGTAGCAACAAAGTAACATAATTACAGTATAAAACAATTTAAATAACTAATTATTCCTACATCTCAACATAAACTTGAAACTTACCTTACATTTGGACAAAAAACAAACAAACTAATATACCACGTAACAAAAAAGACGACAAACGCTTTTCTATCACACATACTTTACATTAACCTACTGTCGGACATTTTCTGAATGAAACCGCACGGGAAAATCCGACATCACTCATGAGCGTAATATTATGAAAATATCACATTTATTACTTGTCCTATTTAAATCCCTAAAAGCTAATAAATATTTATAAATACATCTTTGTGGGCTTTGATATTCATTCTAAATATTTTCTTAAATTTCTTTTAGCAATATTCAGGAAAGATCGTAGTTTTTTAAAAGCTAAAGCTCCAAATTAATAGAATTTAATATCGTTTTCAAAAAAATCGAATCAACTACATTTTATGTCGACAAAACTTGTGTCGAAAAACTATATATTTGTCTTCAAATTTTACAGAAATTGAGGCATTAATTAATATATAGTTGATTTGATTTATATGAAAACGATTTAAATTTTATTGATTTCGAACTAAAGCTTTTCATAAACTAAGATCTTTCCTGAATATTGCTAAAAGAAATTTAAGGAAATATTTATTAGCTTATGACGAAAAAATATTGTCGAAACACTGTACATTAACTACATTAAACTTGTAATAGTCTTAAAATAAGACCCAGAATTCGAGCGCTTTCGAATAGTTGACTTTCTTCTTCAGGAGAACAAAGAAGAATAGTCAACTATTCGAAAGCGCTCGAGTTTTGGGTCTTATTTTAAGTTTATTACACTTTATATGTGATCCTTTGTGCTAACTCTATTATCAAAAACTTGTAATAGTTTTATTCATTATCCTTTCAAGCAGTTCAAACTTCATTATCTCAAATTGGTTCTTAGTAATAAATTTCCTTTAATTTCTGTTGGTTTGTTTGTTGTTAAGTGCAAAGATACATAATGGCTAGCTATGCTTTGCCCACCGCGGGTATCGAACCATGATTTTTATTGTTACAGACCATCAGACTTACCGCAGAGCCACCAGGGACGCCTCAAGTTCTATACATTGTACATATCACCATGGATATTTGCGTTATGCCAATTCTACAACGAAAACACAGCAATAAAAATTTTAAAAGCTTCCGGTGGTATTGTCTTTTAAGTTAATTATTTATTCGTATTGTTACGTCTCCGTTCGTTAGTTAATTTTCCGTAACTTCGTTCCCACGAAACTTTAGCGACACAAGTCCTTTCTTAATAAAACTGGTTTATTCTTTCTAAATATAACTTTACCGATACACTTATTTTCAACA